GTGCCCTTACATTGGTGGTCAGAGGGAGAAGTGTCCCCTTACATGGGTGGTCAGAGGGAGAAGTGTCCCCTTACATTGGTGGTCAGAGGGAGAAGTGTCCCCTTACATTGGTGGTCAGAGGGAGAAGTGTCCCCTTACATTGGTGGTCAGAGGGAGAAGTGTCCCCTTACATGGGTGGTCAGTGGAGAAGTGTCCCCTTACATTGGTGGTCAGAGGGAGAATTGTCCCCTCACATTGATGACACAATTACCTCAGGTGTTTAAAGAATAATAATAATAATTATTGAGTGTTGATGTCAGAATTCCTCTATGGAGGTTCTTCACACCGGACCCCGCCATTAATTACATTTCATGGGTACAACTATACGCTGACACTGACTGGGGAGTAGCAGTTGTGTATTTGGATATGAATCAATATACAATGAAAAGCTCCCCTGGGCTGAGAACACAATTAATTCCGTCATTCAGAATCTGTATATGATGAGCAGAACTGCCGGGAGGCCAGCACCACATATATACAGACACACAGAGACAGGGACGGAGCCATCCCAGCTCACCTGTACACAGGTAACACAGGTATGTAGAGGAAACCTCCACACCTCCCATCATCATCTCCCATCACACCCATCATACTGTACAGGAGGGAAGATCAACACTTATGGAAGCTTACACTCTAATGTCCCCTCCCCCACAGTCACATCAGTCTCTGTACAGAGGAGCTTACACTCTAATGTCCCCCCTACAGTCACACACACATGCTGTACGCTGAAGTCGGTCCCTGATTTTGCAGGTGGGAGACGCTTGGTTGACGGTCCCTTAGAAGTCTATGGAGCTAGGTGCAGCAAGCAGCCAAAAAGCCTTCGTCCCCCAGGGTGTCATAGCGGCGAGGTGCAGCTCTAAGGTTCAGGTGGCGGGGGAGGGAAGGTAAATTTAGGTCAGGTGGGCTATACAGGATGTCACCCCTGCCCTTTGATTAGAGAGGTGCTGATTGGTTGGGGTGAGAAGAAATTGCATTACAAGATTTTGTGCAGGAGGAAGGAAGTTGGGGGGCAGGACTGGGAAATAGAAGATATGAGGAGGGCCAGTTGTAGAAAGCTTATAAAAGAGCCAAAGGATAGACATGACACCTACGACAGACCCCCCATGAGGCAAGAACGAGCTCACAGATACATTGATATGATGATATGGAGATTGCCGAACTGATCTCAGATTCCCCTAATATTACTTTCAGGTCAGTTCATCCCTCTTAGGGGTTTAGAGGTGCTGCAGATTGAGGGGCCCCCTCCAGTACCGGTCCTACCATGCCAGTCCTGTGTCCATCATATACTATGGAGCTTTCCCCACACCAACACAACACCAAACTCTGCTTCCTTAGAAGGTCCACGTTCTGCTGAAGAAGGTTCTGGAACTGTTCTTCCTTCCGCTGGCCCCTTTGTCACTATTGGGACCTGCAGTGATGAAGGGGCCGCCAGTGGAACCCAAAAAGCGGCATCAGATCCTCCCGGAAGCGTTGAATGCTAACCACTCCTTAGCAGAAGTTGGATCTTCAAAAGAGATAGGTGCTTTGAGCAGGTTGGGTGGGTGAGATAGGTGCTTTGAGCAGTTTGGGTGTGTGAGATAGGTGCTTTGAGTAGGTTGGTTGGGTGAGATAGGTGCTTTGAGCTGGTTGGGTGAGATAGGTGCTTTGAGCAGGTTGGGTGGGTGAGATAGGTGCTTTGAGCAGGTTGGGTGGGTGAGATAGGTGCTTTGAGCAGGTTGGGTGGGTGAGATAGGTGCTTTGAGCAGGTTGGGTGGGTGAGATAGGTGCTTTGAGCAGGTTGGGTGGGTGAGATAGGTGCTTTGAGCAGGTTGGGTGGGTGAGATAGGTGCTTTGAGCAGGTTGGGTGGGTGAGATAGGTGCTTTGAGCAGGTTGGGTGGGTGAGATAGGTGCTTTGAGCAGGTTGGGTGGGTGAGATAGGTGCTTTGAGCAGGTTGGGTGGGTGAGATAGGTGCTTTGAGCAGGTTGGGTGGGTGAGATAGGTGCTTTGAGCAGGTTGGGTGGGTGAGATAGGTGCTTTGAGCAGGTTGGGTGGGGGAGATAGGTGCTTTGAGCCAGTTGGGTGGGGGACAGAGGTGCTTTGAGCAGGTTGGTTGGGTGAGATAGGTGCTTTGAGCAGGTTGGGTGGGTGAGATAGGTGCTTTGAGCAGGTTGGGTGGGTGAGATAGGTGTTTTGAGCTGGTTGGGTGAGATAGGTGCTTTGAGCAGGTTGGGTGGGTGAGATAAGTGCTTTGAGCAGGTTGGGTGGGTGAGATAGGTGCTTTGAGCAGGTTGGGTGGGTGAGATAGGTGCTTTGAGCAGGTTGGGTGGGTGAGATAGGTGCTTTGAGCTGGTTGGGTGAGATAGGTGCTTTGAGCAGGTTGGTTGGGTGAGATAAGTGCTTTGAGCAGGTTGGGTGACCTTTCTACGTGGTACATAGTGGTTCCTCTATTTCTTGTGCTTCCACTACAGGACATGAGAAGATTGTCCTTCGTTCTGACCCATCATGTCATTGATAAACCAGACCTTGGAACTTTCTCACTCCGAGTTGATAATGTTGAGTTTCCCCGGAGTCTCCAATCACAGAAATCTTCTGTTCATCCCCTTTCTGTACATCTACCTGATGATCCTTGTGTGCAACTGTCCCATCATCTATCGGATCTGCGTGGAACAAAGTCTTCATACGCCAATGTACATACTCATCCTCGCCATTCTCGTGGTCAGCGTCTTCTATGACACCGTCATCATACCCAAGATGCTGGTGTCTTTCCTTGGGTGGGATACAATATTGTGGACTGCCTGCTTGATGCAGATGTTCACCGTCTACTCTGGCCTCCTGACAGAGTCCATCATATTGCTGTTGATGGCATACGACAGGTATGTCGCCATCTGCAAGCCTCTGCATTACCATAACATCATGAACAAACATCTACTGGTTCTTTTCTCCGTTGTTGGGTTCATTAGGAACTGCTCGGTGGCCTGTCTTCTCGTCATTTTGGACTCCCAGCTCCATTTCTGCGAGTCGAATGTCATTCTGCACTTCTACTGTGAGAGCCCAGCGCTCTACAACCTGGCATGCGGCGACATCTCCAGCATCCAAAACTCAGGTCTTCTGGCCCGGACAGTGTTGACCGTCTGCGACATTTCCATCATCTCCCTCTCTTACCTGAAAGTTCTGAAGGCCGCCATGAAGATTGGAGTGGGCAGTGCCAGGCGCAAGGCCTTGCACACGTGTAGTACACACCTGTCGGTGGTGGTTCTCTTGTACGTGCTTGAAATTGTCGCTACGCTGTTATACCAACCTGGGATCTCCGTGTCTTATGACGCGCAGAACGCGGCCAGCGCAGTCTACTTTTTCCTTCCGGCAATCGTTAATCCAATTATTTATGGACTACGCATGAAGGAGGTGAAAGCTGCCTTACTGAGCCAGATCAAGAGGACGCGTTTCGATAATCGGCTCTTTAAAGGAGAACTATGAGGTCAGGGCTTTCCCCCATAGTTCTCCTTAGGGTAACGGGGGGACACAAACTAGCGTCCTCCCGTCACCCTAAGCTCAGTATATAGGGAGCTACAGCTCGCGGTATACTGAGACGCCGCAGCCGGAGCGGATCCCGACATCGATGTCGAGATCCGCCCAGCTGCGTGAGTGACAGCTGGCTCTGCCAATCTAGAGGCAGAGCCAGCTGTACCCGCCCTCTCCAGTCAGCGCTGGCGGATTGGAAAGGGGGGGTGGGGAATCCAGCCCCTCCCCTGTCACGGCAGAGAGCTGTGACAGGATCGAGAGGTGAGCGAACGCCGGTATGTGTTCTCTCACCTACCGATCTACTGAGCCGACCTGTGACAGTCTCATTGTCACAGGTCGGCTAGAACTATGAGGTGAGTGACAAGCCCCTCCCCCTCATAGTTCTCCTTTAAATCTACCTGATCCCTTTCTTCTTTTTTTCAGTTTCCAGGGTTCGCTTTTTTACTTTCAAAGTATTTTTATGAAGTTTTTTGTTTTTACATTACTCAGGTAAGACAACATACATGACCTAAAATGACAGACAAGTACATGTGATCAGCCCGCCACAACATAAAGCTCGTGAAGCTACTCGCACATCAAACTAGGGTATAGGCCAGGGTACCACGTTACATTGGACCCGCCAGGATTGGTGCACACCAAGCTAAAACTGTAGCAATGTAAGCATCCCGGCTTCATATGCCACCCCCTCCGGGGGTTCAAACTCTGTACGGGTCCTGATCCATCAACGGCCGATCACTAAGACAAATTAAAGATAAAAGAGAGAGCAAAGTACAAGGAGAGAAAGACAGAGCCAGTAGGCCGGAAGGGGGAAAGAAAATGAAGAACAGACGGGGTTCACTTTTTTTTTTATGATTTGTTATGAAGGGTCCGGAGAGGTCCAGAGGTGGTCAGATAAGAGAGGAAATACAGATTGTGAGGGTTGTGCGACCTATGATACCGAGCTGCACAACGCGTCCCAGCCTAACATACATACATGTCCCTCAGGGCAGTAATTGGACCCCCATACATGTCCCCCAGGGCACTAACCGGACCCCCATGCATGTCCTCCAGGGCAGTACCCGGATCCCCATACATATCCCCCAGGGCAGTCCTCGGATCCCCATACATATCCCCCAGGGCAGTCCTCGGATCCCCATACATATCCCCCAGGGCAGTCCTCGGATCCCCATACATATCCCCCAGGGCAGTCCTCGGATCCCCATACATATCCCCCAGGGCAGTCCTCGGATCCCCATACATATCCCCCAGGGCAGTCCTCGGATCCCCATACATATCCCCCAGGGCAGTCCTCGGATCCCCATACATATCCCCCAGGGCAGTCCTCGGATCCCCATACATATCCCCCAGGGCAGTCCTCGGATCCCCATACATATCCCCCAGGGCAGTCCTCGGATCCCCATACATATCCCCCAGGGCAGTCCTCGGATCCCCATACATATCCCCCAGGGCAGTCCTCGGATCCCCATACATATCCCCCAGGGCAGTCCTCGGATCCCCATACATATCCCCCAGGGCAGTCCTCGGATCCCCATACATATCCCCCAGGGCAGTCCTCGGATCCCCATACATATCCCCCAGGGCAGTCCTCGGATCCCCATACATATCCCCCAGGGCAGTCCTCGGATCCCCATACATATCCCCCAGGGCAGTCCTCGGATCCCCATACATATCCCCCAGGGCAGTCCTCGGATCCCCATACATATCCCCCAGGGCAGTCCTCGGATCCCCATACATATCCCCCAGGGCAGTCCTCGGATCCCCATACATATCCCCCAGGGCAGTCCTCGGATCCCCATACATATCCCCCAGGGCAGTCCTCGGATCCCCATACATATCCCCCAGGGCAGTCCTCGGATCCCCATACATATCCCCCAGGGCAGTCCTCGGATCCCCATACATATCCCCCAGGGCAGTCCTCGGATCCCCATACATATCCCCCAGGGCAGTCCTCGGATCCCCATACATATCCCCCAGGGCAGTCCTCGGATCCCCATACATATCCCCCAGGGCAGTACCCGGACCCCCATACATGTTCATTTTCGAACGTTCGTCCCACATTGATTTGCATTAGGTTCAAGTTCGTATTCGAACATTTCGGCCATTCGATTGTTATGAGACATCTATTGTGTGCCACATACAATGCTGTATAACACCTTGCAAATGCAATCAACGCCTGGTTGTGACTAACAGATTATGTGGATTGGAGCGACATTCACCATATTTATTCCCAGCGAAGTCATTCTGAATTGAGAAAAATTTGCAGATACAACATGTGACCCCTCCCACCAACCAGACCTTCCAAGCTCAAAGTCCTCACTGCACATGACCTATAAGAATCCTCTGCACAGGACGAGCTCATCGGCCTCCAATCTATCTGAGGTAAAGACAAACTTCCGCTGAGCTATTGTATTTTTTTATGTACGTATCACAACCTAGACCATTGACTAGAAACTGAAATCAGCTTCAAGGAGACTCCAAAGAGACTCCTCCCCCAAAATTGAAAGGGAGAAAATTTTGAATGCAGCTAAAATTACTTCAAATCAATTTCCGAACACAACATAAGCGAATTGTTTAGTCAGATCTATACGACTAGTATAAATTTACAGATAAATGCAAAGTTATACCTTACCACTACTCTGGAGATTCTTTGGTCTCAGTGATGTCAGCTTTGTTTCTATATAAGGACAGGAGATGTTCTGGTCCTCTTTGCAGCCCGTCAGTCAGCTTCGGATCAGCTCCCTTCTGTGTGTGTGTGTGTGTGTGTGTGCCATGTGTTGTATGTGTCAGTTTTCTTCTCCCCAATTCCCTCCCAACTTTTATCACCCCAAAAACTTGGGAGGGCCATGCTTACCTCACTTAACTATGATGTCATAGCCAAGATCATCTTATTCCAACATTATCCCCGCAAATACCTGAAGAGGGCAATGTTGCACTAGGAATCATTTTGGATTTTTTCTTAAAATGTCTATATTATGTCTTGAGTTGACCTCTGACCTTTGGCTGGTATAGAACTATACATAATAGCTATGGTCAGCTACCTTGACAGAACTTGCCAGACACTCTGCAGACTACTGTCTCTTTAAGAGATACATTGTTTGAGAAAGTTAAAGAAGGTTTTGACTAAAATATATCTTTCAGACGTAGACGGAGGACGAGGCCATTGGTACTGGGAGATTGTAGCTACTTAAATTCTTTCACTGATTACAGACGGTATAATATAATAATGCACTTAATGTAATTATTTGTCATTTTCGAAAACACCTAATATACTAATATATGTCAATAAGTACAATGTAATAACATATTGTGGCATATTGTGGCAATACCACGGTGTTAGGTGGCCTCAAAGTCACCCGGGGTTCTCAGCCAGAGGGGCTGAGCGGCTCCAGGAAGACATTGCTTGTACCAGGACAGAGCCGGCTTTTCAGTCCTTTCCGGGTTTTCTGGATCATAGTTGGGATCCTGGAGCCAGGAGATTTCTTAGAGCTCCGGGTGGGATGAAATCCCCATTCCTGGGTCCATGTTTTAGTAGTGACCGGCACCTGATTGTTCACCTGTGTACATCCCTCATGAAGAGTGTGCTGGGATGTGTTGAGGGCCCCACCTGGGAGACGGGAGAACTCCACCCAGGAGTCAGAGTGGAGGCCGGTGCAGCAGGGGGGGGTTCAGGTTCGTGAAGCCTATTGCGTGCGGGTTGGCACGTTATTGAGGTTGTCTGGAGGAACCAGACGGTGGCCCTGAGGATTGAGGCCGGAGCAGCAGTGCTGCAACAGACAACTGTTAAAGGACTGGGACACTGTGAGTGTGTGGGACAACTCGAGGATTGGTGAGCCCATAGATGTTATGTGGTGAAGACAAGATATTTGATATTGGACTTCCGTTATTGTCTGCCATTTGAAAGAATAATAAAGACTTTTGTTTATGGGAAAGTCCGGTGCGAGTTCTCTGTGAGCTCCCCAACATCACTGTGCCGCCCCAATGGGGCATAGAATATGTTATTGGCATTATTAGTAGATGAGAATTTATATAGATTGTTTCCCTATACCATTTCTATAGTCATTCTATATTTAGTTCCTATGTTGCCATCTAGTGGCCTTTCTTGGTATCAAACATGTGCTGTGTTCACTTTGTGACGTATTTCCTCTTTATGTAAGCCCCACCCTTCTTCCTGAGTGCAGTATTTCCTGTGTCATGGCCACAGCTAACAGGCCACATGTAACTAGGACACATGTACTCTACATAGTACGCTACAACAGGCATCATTTTTTGACCGCACAATACTATAACCATTCAACTGCTGTTCCTGTCATCTGCTGTAACCTTGATGTTCAGAATAAAGCACCCTTTTCAATGAATCGGTATTTGGTGAGTTCGGCTCTCTGATAGGATTGTCCGCAGTGAGTATATCTGCTTATACAGGCCGGGCATAGAGATCTCAGCAAGGGATATATCGCTATCACAACAATCGGAGTCAGAATAATCACCATATATACTGCACGTGGTTTATAGGTTGAATATTGTATTCAAAAATATATAAAAATGACTCAATTAAGCAAATATTTAGATGCTTCATTTAATAATAATAATACAAGTTAAACTATTGATTATAATTAGCGATGCACCGATGCCGGTATTTTGGTACCGAGTGCAAGTATTGATATATTTTTTTCCGGTACTCGCCGATACCATTTACCGAGTACCGGAAGTCCCATTCAGGATGCCAGGCGGCATGTAAAGACTCGCCACCCGGCTTCCCTACAAGAAAGCCGTCCTATGGTGCTCGTCACTATGTGACGAGAAAGCATGGAGCCGGCTTGCTGGCCAATCATGGAAGCCGGGCGCTGTGTAATGACGCGGTGCCCTGCTTCCTGGTTGGCCTGGAGGCCGGCTCCACGCTCCCTCGTCATGGGAGATGACGAGGGAGCATGAAGCCAGCTTCCCGGGCCAATTGGAAA